GATACTATAGCCTTTGCGGATGATGTTTTGTTTTGCTTCCAGAGTAGGGACCTTTCTGCTACTTTTTTACAGGCACAAGAGACTTTAAATTTCGCCTCCAACTGGTCAAAAGGTTTTAAATTAGATTTTAATCCTGATAAAACCAGGGTTATGATTATTGAAAAGCGAAACATCTGTTATGATGCATTTCAGTTATCTCTCGATGGCACCCCTTTGACTGTGGTAAAGCAAATGAAATATCTTGGGGTTTTTTCTTGACTGTAAATTTTCTTGGAAACAACACTTAACTTATGTATCAGAGAAATGTGATAAATTACAGCGTGGATTAAGTCGTATTGCACGCAACACATACGGTATTAATTACAACGTTCATTCGCTCATCTATATAAAAGGAATTGCACCCCTTCATTATGTATGGGCTCTAGAGTCTGGGGTATATCGCTCAAGAAGAAGATAAATTATAGATATTTACGACTTGTTCAAAGGCGGTTACTACTGCGGGTCATATGTGGATATCGTACCGTAAGCTATGAGTCTGTTTATGCAATTTCTGGCTTTCCTCCAATTGACATTGCCATTCTTCATTCTATTGCTTGATAAGCTTCTACTGTCTCTCAGGATTGTATATTACCTCTATCTGATATCCCTCATCCTTCAGAAAGAAATGCTGTTAATTTTATTCAGTTTAGCAATAAAATCGTAGATGATTCGCCTGTAACTTGCTATACTGATGGCAGCAGGTTGGCATTGGTCTCGCATTTGTTGTTCTTCAAAAATGGTCTTGAATTTGAGCACTTTCAATTTAGAATCAGAGATGAATGTACCGTTTTCATAGCTGAACTTTGTGTGCTTAAACTTCGCCGTCAAATGGGTCTCTAAACAAAAACAGTGCTGTTTCAGACTATCTCATTTGTACTGATTCCCTTTCATCCTTGGAGATCTTAAAATGTATTTCTTCTTCTAATAATATCATTATCGAGATTCAAAAAGAACTGAAAAAATCTAAAGGATAAAAATATTTCGGTTTCATTTTGATTTGTTCGTGGTCATACAGGTGTTGTTGGGAACGAACGAGCCGATTTCCTTGCTAAGACTGCGACTAAGCGGGAAATTGACACTTTTGTCAATATCCCTAATTACTTCTATAAGAAGGTCATGTATGAAAGCATTGTGGAGTCGTGGAATCACGAATTCATTAATTCAAATAAAGGGAGTTTAACTAGAAGATTTTTCCCTTCTATTAAAATGAGATTGTCATGAAAGAAAAGTCTTGAAACTGGGACTGAAAAATTTTAATATTAACTGGCCTCCAGAGTTTTACCAATTTATTTCCGAGAGAAGTGCTTTTAACACTTTTTGTTAATTCATTGTAAAACTGTGTAATCATCCTTAATTTTATTTCAATTTTCTCTTCTGTTTATTTTGTATTGTGTTTCATACTTACTTCTGTAAGCCCCATGTGATACTATGTGGTACATGGGGAACTTGTTGTGTTTCTTTTAATAATAAAATATATATATATAAAAATGAAACATCTTAACAAATTATGATATCCCATCGCCAGGAAAGCTGAGAAGTATCCTTCCATATTTATGCCAACCATACTACTAGAAGCTTGAAAAAAAGCTGTTTATTTAATTAATCATTGGATACAAGTTACGAAAGTCACTTATCATAATTTTTTAGATGGCCACTGTTTACACATTTTTCAAATAAAGCCACAGAGCATGGACATTAATGCAACTTTGCTTGATGCTAGGATACTAAACTTCGAAAAACCTCTACTATATGCTATTATGTTGAAGGCAGGTCTAAATTTCAATCTTTTTTTTTTTTTAAATGTCATGGAAACATAGATAAAAAGCAATTAACTTATATCCTTCTTTACAAAAACTAAATTGGTTTATCCAGAATTAATTGGGATTACATTAAAGCATGATGAAGATCTTATTATTGTTGGTAAGACCATATTTAACCATTATTTTCCTGCCCCAGTAGTTAAGAGCATTGAATAATGGAAGTTCGAACTCGGTTCAATGCCAGCAAATAGGCTGGCTGCATGTTTGGGTTTCATGGTTTTTCCCCATGTGTAACATGAATATGACCTAGTTTCCCTTAGGAAGATATTCCTCCCCTTAGACAGATACCATATTATATTACTCATATAACCTAACCATTATTGGCACTAAATCACATTGCTTTCTGACAGTTTTTGCTTGCCAAAATTGGTTTGACAGGAAAGACATCCATGAGCAGTCTTCTGACGAACGGCAAATTCCTTGGAATAATGTGATGGGACAGCGCTAGGGCAGGACATGTAAGCAACATCTTCTGAAAGAGAGCCATGTAACTGTATTCATACTTTAAATGTGATTAGTGGATTTCTCTATACATGCTGTATAATGCTTTTACAAGTCTCTCTGACTTTAAAAAAATATTTTGGTCAATTGAGTTGTTCAGATATGATCATATGTGAGGAGACAGCAAAATAATATTTTAAGATGAAAATACATTGCTTTGTGTTCAGGAAGACAATGATTCACTTTTACACATGAACCTCTCAATTGCGATTCAGTGCAATCTGCAATGACATTTTTATAAACAAACCTATTTGCACTCATTAGGTATTACTCTGATGCAACTTTCTAATTGTCCACACTATGAAGCATAATATTGTGAGGGCAAATTACCAGAAATGAAGTTAATTAGAATCAAGAAAGTATTTTGCAAAAGATATGATAAGTATTGATAAAATCGAAAACTGTTATAAAATTGTAGCTATTAAATAAACAACACACGGAAATGAAACTAATGAGAAAGGAATAATAATAATGAATATATAAACTAGAACAAATAAAATTAAATAAATACATATTACTATTCTTAAAAAACATCACACCTAGAAGAAAGATAGATACAACCTTTATTTTTGTAGGATTATAAGGTATTTCTCCCGCCTTCCTAGCTTGCTTTCGTGTTGTAGTGGTTCTGAACGCTGGGCCGGTATTCCAGAGGTCCGTGGTTCGATTTCCGGTGAAAGCGGTTGCTAATTTTTCATCTCTCTGGCTTTTTCCAATTAACCTAATGTCTCTACAAGTGGCGCTCGAACTAAAAGGGTTGTAGATGATGATTCTCCACACTCAGGATTTCGCGATTGGGTCCCCTAAAAACCCCAGTCGCCCTTTAAAAGGGGGGAGTATATAAGGTATTTCTGCCGCCTTCCTAGCGTGCCATCGTGGAGTAGTGGTTCTGCACGCTGGGCCCGGTATTCCAGAGGTCCGTGGTTCGATTCCCGACGAAGGCGGTTGCTAATTTTTTCATCTCTCCGGCTTTTCCAATTAACCTAATGTCTCTACAGGTCATGCGTAAACAGTGCAGAATAAAAGATTAGTATTTAAAAGTAATATGTTTTTCATAGATACAGTGAGTATTCTGTGTCCACTTTTGACTTGTATTGCTTACTTGACATCTGTTGGCACTGGATCCTGGTTACGAATATAACTTTTTTTTTTTTTTTTTATTATTTATCCCATCATCCACAGACACACTATGATACCATTATTTTTACCTAAAACAAAATTGTAATTTATCAAAAAAGATGAGCTCAGGCTACTCAGTTTGCCAGATACAATGTTTGAAAGTCTATTGCAGGCTGGCAATACATTGTTGAGTTATCACAATTAACCAGAGATACAGTTGATGTATCTGACATCCAAAGCATAATAAATGATGATATATAAAGACTGATAAAGCTAGAAAATATGCCGATATCCACAACTACTGGGCCAATATTATTGATGACACAGAATACTCTGTAAAACACATCCTGCTGAGATGAACATCTCTTCCTGTTATCTACATATGATTCCAGAATCTCTTCTTAGTTCACTACGCCCTTTTTTGATTTTGCCTCTGCATAAATCCAGTTCTAAAATAATTGCAATCGCCACGGTTATGCTGGGCAGCAAAATTTTAGAGAAGCTGAGACCTAGAATTTAGGAGCAGCAACAACTACTTCACGTAAACAAAAATGTTTAGCGTCACTACCAGTCCTCTTTGTCACTGGTGTGATTATATGACTTTCTTCCTGATGCAGAGGAATAAATTCTTATTTAACCATCATACAAATTTAGAAGGTTTGGTTTGGCTTATTTTGATTATGGCAAACCACTCAACAGCTACCTGAATAAGGAGAAGGATGACGACATGGAGGACATTCTAAGGAAAACTGGTTCCTACACACATCACACATGGAAAAAAACACGAAAATACAACAGCCAGTCTGTTCATGCGATTCCAGTTTCATACCGAACTACCAATATTCAATGACTTTATTGCTTGGCTGTTGGTGGGACAAATTTAAAAGAACAAGGTTATAATTTACAGATTTACATGTTTTGAGGTTTCACTAATTTAGCTTTAGAATTCGTGCACTAATGAGCTTGAAATGCTAAAAACTTATTCCATATTTTTTACTTTATATACCTTGAAAAAAAATAAAAATTGTAGCTGCAGTTCTTCTTGGTGTATCAGGTTTTACCAATATTGCAACAATTAAACAAATACAATGTATACTTTCTAATAAAACTAATTTTAATTGGTATATAAATTAATCTTGTTTACTATTTACGTTTACTATTACTATTTAAAGAAAATAATTTTGATGTCTTTTTTAGCTCTGCATTGAAACTATTAGTATACAAAAGACTATTTAAAGACAATTTAAGTCCCCTTGTTAATTTAGTCCCCTGTTAAAGAAAAACAATTAATAATTTCCGTTTCTAAAATCTCATATAGTCTATAAAAGAAATAACAGAAGCTATGCATTTCACTCTGATTTTCTTATTTGGGTCTGCTATTATAAATATGAGATAACAAATCTTTGAACTAAAACTAATTAAAAAAAATTCAGTCACTTGCATAAGTCACTTTATAATAATTTGAGAACAACTGAATTTCATATAAATTAGAAAGCAAATAAATAACAAAAGTAGCTTTACTTATGATAAACGAATTTTCTTCATTCTGGACTGATAAGCCATCATAATACAATAACCGAAATGAATCATCAGGAGAAGTTTTTTCAAGTATGTCAGTAGAAGTTCCGAAAAGGACGCTGAAATGACTGCCACTTAGTAACACCCAAATTGGATAAACGGGATTTTTGTAGTGATTTCCTACCTGTAATTATAAATAAAACAATGATGAATTTAAACTATAGAAAGCTGATTGCAAACGCATTTTCACACAAAATACAAATAAGAAACTTTTCATTAACTTTTAACTATTTGACATACAGTGACATTTGGGATGCATTGCTTACATTTCGCACATTTTTAGACTGTGAGCTGTTCTAAATTTTTCAGACTGTGAGACATATTTTTTAGACTGACAGTTAAAAGCTAGAGACTATTCACACATTTTATAGAGGACTTTGCTTTGCTAAAAAAATTTTGCCTGCTTAGAATTTTTTTTATCTGCAACTATATATATTATTTAACTGCAACTATATTTTGCAACTATATATATATATATATATATATTAAGTGTAAATTATTGTCGGCTATTTGACAACTTTGTTTTCGTGCAAAATTGCGCTTTTAAAGAACCAATGAACAGAAGGCCATGTTTGTACTCTTTCCGAAGAAACTTATTCGTAGTTAAGGAACAATAGATAGTATTGTCAATAAGAAAGGGAAAAAACGTCGAAGTTTGGCTTCAAGGAGAAAAATTTTTCAAAATACATAACCAAGGAAAAAAGGATGCTTTGAATGTTAGAAAAGTAAGAAATTTAGTATTAAAAGAATCTGCGAAGTCAGAAGGACAGTTGCATAATCATTAAAATGCTCAGTGTCAACTGCAAAGACAGTGATTAATGCTAATTTAAATCTTAAAAGAGTCAAAAAACTTAATGTGTTTGTCTTTCTTTACTGTATATCACAAACCGCAGAATGCTCTGCAGAATTCTTTATGAGAAACAATTATTTAGACAAAAATGGAAACTTTTTTTACAATAGATGAATCGCTGTGCTAAAAGATATCCATTTATTATCCACAAAATGAAGAAAAAAGTCTTGGAACATGGTTCAAAGTATCTAAAGAAAGTTTCTGAAAGGGATTTATGATTGTTGCTGTCTTTTGATACAACGACAGATAAAAATTAAAGAGATGGAGGAAACTGTTAAAGTTAACTCCACATATAATAAGGAACATATTTTACACCCAATTTTCAAATATGAAGTACCTTCTCTTTACCCTCAGTGCCATCAATCAGTAAAAGTACATGAAAAAAAAGCAGCCACATCAAAACCTACTGGTAATTTCCTTGAAATAATGGAACAAAAAACGTGTATTAAGGGCCACTCCCTTCACCCATATCCCTACTAAATCTCCTCATGCATCAATGTATAACCCATGGTTTTTTGCGTTTTTGGACTTTTAAAATGCGAACTGTCCAAACATCGATCTTTCTTGGACTTTGGAAAGCTGATCGAGAGGAATGGGATAAAATAACCTCTTTCAATACTAAAAAATGCTTTACTATCTTTGAAATTATGGTATAGTAAGATAGTGAAGAATAAGACTTATCAAATGGAACATTTAAAACACAAACATTTTAGCTAACATATTTTTGTAAATACAATGAAAATCGCCTAAAAATGTGCAAACAGCATCTGAATTATCAGTATCAAAACAGACATTGGTACATCCTCAAAAGTCTTAAAATTTTAATTAGTTTCATGGAATTTTTTTTGTTGCATTTGAAAAATCTTAAATAAATTTTTTGATAGCATTGCAAATTAGTCTATGAATAAATTGATTTTCTCCTCAACTTTGAATTTTATTTGCATGTCAAGGGAGAGGGAAAAAACATTAGGGGAGGAAAAAGATTAATTTCCGAATAAAACTAACAAGTATCCAATAAAATGTTGCTACATGATATTCTATGATATATCTCTCTCCAGTGTACATGATAAGATATAATATAGCATTTACATTTTGTGAACATTAGAAAATTTTAATGATATACTCTTCAGTGATAGCATTCTAAAAGCTAAATAAGGACATGACAAGATTAACAAAAACCGATTTTAGGAAAGCAAATTTTCCTTCCAATAATGTTCTATATTGTTAAATGCTACACAGAAATGAAGCAAACAGGAGAAATTTGCAATGCAACCCACCTTTTTTTTAAAGGAAAGAAATCAAGCAGATTAAATTCTAATGATTTTGATTTTGGGTTAAAAAAAAGATAAATGAAGATATCGGTGTTGCCACAATTAAAATTCTGGAAAAAATATGCATTATTCCAATAAATGGACCCATATTGTATGAACAAGCTAGAATATTTACTTCTGCACTGAAATGAAATGATTTTAAAGCCAGCAAAAGATATTTAATGTTTTTCTAGGATAGACATGGAATCATGGTTCAGAATTTTCATGAAGGGAAGAATGAATGCCAAATGAATGACTGCAGATATATAATGAAAATTTGATACACTTTAAAATCACATTAAAAACACTTAAAAGTCACATTAAAAACACTTAAATCACATTAAATCACATTAAAAACACTTAAATTAAGTCACATTTAAAAGTGTATGAAATTTTTTATAAATAGTAAGTAAAAGGTCTCATACTGTACAGGTATTTTGATACTCATATAATGACAATAAGCCTATGGCAGATTGTCCTGGAATTCCTCGATGTATTGATTTTTCTTCACCTCCAGAGTTAAGTTCCAAATTTCCATCAAACAAATTAGGCACAGCTTTCCCAATAAGCATCAAATTAACCACTTCCTGAAAATACAAAAAATATTTTATTTTTAAAAGCATTGTAAATAATTTTTAATTATTTTCTTAATTATTTATAATTACTTATTTTAATTATTAATATATATTTATTTCAAAATCAATTAAAAATTATTTACAGCATTTTTCAGAAACTTGAAAATTTGAAAAAATAAACATATGAGCTCAGAATTACAGTAAAAAGATAATAATTGAGTAACATGATATACTTGAGAACAATAGCCATCTTCTCCAATCAAATGACTTTCAGGATAATCCATTTCTTCCTTTATACTGCAAAATAATAATAATATTAATAATAATAAATAAATAAATGAAAAATTTTGAAACTGGGGGGAACACACAAATTCTTTTGAATGAGTTAGGGAAATAATTCATTTATGTTTATTTATTTATTTTTAGCAATCAAAAGCTAACGGATAAAAATAAGTAAGCCTACATTAAAAACTGACAAAATTCAGCTTCAGGTTGATACTCACAATTCTTTTAAAAATCTAGTCATATCTAAAGTTAAAGTTTATCTAATTTAAAATATTTAGAATGTACTTTTGATGATGAAATTATTTTACTAAATAAATAAAGCTTTTTAAATACTTGCAATCAATATGAGAATGGAAATGCTTACCTTTCAATACCATGTGTTAATATAACAGAATATAAAAACAAGACACAGCTTCCACTGTCATCATTCATCAACTGTAACAACCGAAAACAATATTTAATTAATATCTAGACTAATTAAATTTAAATATTATATACATTGCTAGCAGGAGAATTATTTTAAAGGAAAATTAGACTTATCAAACGGTTAATTATCAAACGAAAACGATATTAATTATCAAACAATATTATAGTCTTATAGTCAAAATGAACAATAAATTTTTATTGTATTGAATTTTTAGAAAAGCATGTATAGTCATTGAAATCAAAATATCATTATAATAATACAGATGTCATACCTCAGATATGAAATTGATAAAATATTCAAGAACACAATTCCTGGATCTAAAATACTTCAATCGTAACTAGAAAAAAAAAAAAAAAAAAAAAAAAAAAAAAAAAAAAACATTTTATGCAAAAAGAAAGCATAAATCAATAATTATTTTGCAAACCTTTAGATAAATCTTAAATATAGTAACTAACATTTAAAAGCAATTTTTAACATGCCTAATAATTATAGGCAAATGTGATTTTCATTAATAATTTATCACCCAAAATTTCAAATCTGTAGAATAATGAAATTAATACTGAAAAATCATTCAGGGAAAAAGTTTACAATTGCTTTAAAAAATTTCTCACATATTCAATCATTCCATCTGCTCGTAAGATGTTAGAGGTTATGGAAGAATCAAATACTATCTTGTTCCACTTCCTGTAAATAATAGTGAAAAAATATCAGATATCAGCATGTATAATATCAACATATTTTTTTTTTATATAGGACTCTTACACTATAGTAAGTAGTTTGATCTTAGTTCATATTCTTACACAGCAATCACAACTTCCTTTTTTCTTCCTGCCTGCCACAGAATTGATGTCAAAGCTCTAGCTAGTGCTTCTTTCTGCTCAACAGCCTTAGGCCTTAAACTGAAAGCAAATATGGTATTATTTATTATTGTTGTTATTTCACCAAACATTTAACTATATTTGTGAGAATTTTAACTAAGAATTTTGATGTTAATTTGCAGAAAAAAATTATTAAAAAACAAATAAAATGTAGAGCATATAGTATTTTTTTGTTAAGTGCCCTTTTTTAGTCAGTGGTAAAATTTTAACATTACTGTTACCATTAGTTTTTGAAGCAACTGCAGTTGCCACTATCTTATAGCCCTTCCAAACGTTACAATTTTTTACGTTAATTTTGATCTATATATTTCTTTGTTTGAAATTTATTTAACATTACTAACATATAAGCAATTTTCCCAAATAGTTACAACATCAAAAATAAGAAAAAAGTTTATTTCTTAAAAATTTCACATTTTTATTATGTGGTTCATTTAGCAGGTGCCTGTAAGAATTTCAGTTCTTGTAAGCCTCTCATGGTATATTCACTGCTGACTTAACAAGTAAACCAAATATGTTCATAATGCTTCAAAAAGTTATTTTTTGTTTATGATTATCGTTGTACAACTATTTTTCTATTTGTAAGTTTATTTATAGTCAATGTTACATAAAACCTACTATGTATGTATTTAAACACTTAGGTAATTGATTGTGGCAAAGATTACTAGGACTAACGTTTTTTAAGAACAAAGCAGGAATTTATATTTCCCATGGAGAAAACCACAATATACAAGCAGCAATCTGCTCTGCAGTCAACTATTAAATCAATGATCAGGCTGTCCATTTTTAATGATTTTAATAAGTTTGCAACTAGTAAGCCTTATAGTTTGCTCATATTTAATCAGTTTCTTTAAAATCAGTTATATTTTAAAGCAAATGACATATTTTTAGTAATATGGAAATAATAAATAAATAAATATATATATATTATAAAAGTGTGCAATGTGCATGTCGCTGAACCTCAGAAACAAGTCCCGGTACGATCCATGAAGTTATATGGTGTGGAAGCCCTCTATGCCACATCTAGGTAGAAGGTTCCCATTTTTAACTGGAGGGCGTACTTTTGAAGATATAAGAGCTGAAAGTTTCGATCTCTAGGAGTTTCTAGAAAGTCCAGAACATCCTGGAATATTGTGGAATGTTCTGGAATAGCCTGGAGTGTTCAGGAACATTCCAGATCATTGTGGAATGTACCAAATGGGAAGATACATCAATAGTAACGAAGCACCGTGGCGGATTTTCAGTTTTCCCATACACGAACACGAGCCAACTGTGCAACATCTAGCAGTATATTTGGAGAATGGACAGAGAATTTACTTCACAAAAGACACCGCCAGAAAAACTGCAAGAGAACAACCTAAGAACACAACATTAACAACTTTTTCCAACTGTGGGAAACGAATCCATTTGCAAAAACATTACTATATTTCGACGTCTTTTTGGAACAAAACAAGAAAAGTCTTTCAACGATGAAAACAAGGAATTCCAGTAGAGGATCATCCAGGAATCATGAAAACTAACACAATAGGCCGAATATACACCGTACATTCAAACGACGCCGAATGATTTATCTTCATATGTTGCTACACGAAATACGCCGACCAGCAAGTTTCACAATTTCAAGAATGTTGACGGTTACTTATGCCAATGCTTGGGACTACTAGAAAACGACAACCACTGGGAATTAACTCTACAAGAAGCCTCACTCACAGCCTCAGCTGAACAAATCAGAGACTTATTCGCCATAATTCTAACGACATGTAACACATCAAATTCCAAAACAGCTATGGGACTCTTTCAAAGAGAATATGAGTGCTGACATACTGTACCAAATCTGACAAGTTCATCCAGAACTGGCCATCGGATTGAACGACGACACCTATTCACCTAGAATGAAACACTTATTCACCTAGAAGATAAATGTTCGGCAATAAAACAAAACAGACCTTAGTACAACTTGGGATGCCAGCACGATGACAAGATGCTTTCAACGTGCTAAATTTCGAAATTGCAAAGGAAAAAAGTTACAGCATCAACGTGCTCGAAACAAATCACTCCTCAGTGACAATTTAAAAAAAAATTACAGCGTAATCATGGACCGGATCAACAACAACACATTGCGGAATTATTTACTTGGATGCACAGGAAAACATTTCTAATAAATCTATTGCTGGCAGAGATTATACGTGCTAAACAACACATCGTCATTTCCATTAGCGGCTAGTAATCTTAACTTCGATAATTCAAATTCCATTTCTTCTCTCCTAATTCTATCTTGCCTCTCTTCTTCTCTATTAATATTTTCCTGCCTCTCTGCAATTCTTTCTTGCCTTTTTTCTTCTTCCCTCCTAATTCTTTCTTGTCTCTCTTCTTCTTCTCTCCAAACTCTTTCCTGCTTCTTTTTTCCTTCTCTCCTTATTCTTTCCTTCCTCTCTCCTTCTTCTCTTCTAATTCTTTCCTGCTCTTTTTTTTTCTTTCTCAAGCCTCGTTGAAGTAATATTTTCTAACGGAGCTTTCACTAGTTCCTCCTCATAAGATTCATTTCCCATAATCAGCAGTCTTAAATCCAATATCCCAAGTTCAGGGCTAACTTTTTCCCCTAACTCTTCAGCCAAGGATTTAAGATCCTCTTTCCTTTGCTAAGAATGCCATGATATGAACAAAATTATGCTAACAACCTGACAAATTTAGCTCCCTCACACTACATATATATAAAACTGATTTAAACAAATATAATTTTCACAGAGAGACAGAGTAAAATTGAACCCTTAATTTTTTTCACAACATATTTTACAGATCTTAAACAAAAACAAGACAGTTTACACTATAATATGCACGTTATGCATTCAAATAAAAATTTGTCTAAAGGACTTATGATACTACAGATAATATTACCTCTTAAAAGCTTTAAATTCAGTTGCGTTAAACTCAATTGCTTATGATAATACACTATACTTTCATCAAAATTTGAGGTACATTAAAATATGCATTCAAAGGTTAATTATAAAAAACATATATCTACATGCTCATAACTAAACATTAATATGACAACTGTTAAAATGAACGATACTGGGGATTTCTAGCATTCCCCTTTTACTCATTCAATAGAAAAAAATTTCTCAGTTCTTACACCAATAATGTTCGACACACCTTAACTGAAAATTGTAATATTTATAATATTCAAAACGTCTTAGAATTGAATTTCAGAATGCCACCTAACCTTAGAACCTTCAAGATTACAGTAATTCTTCTCCTTTATACATTCAATTACATAAGCTTAATTTGAGCACAACACATTAACTTTTCAGATATTAAAAATATATTAACACAGATTTAAATTCTAAAATTTATACTTTCTTATTGTAACATAAAACCCAAACAGTACATTTCTTTAAGCTTTGCAGAAAACGAAGTTGAATTAAAACAGTTATGTGAACTTATATACTAAATTACAGAAATAAATTAAATTACTTTACTGCCTTAATATAAAAATCCAAAGTGCTTACCCGCCTCTCACCAATATATAGATATTGATGATTCAGACACTTTTCACTGCTTAACACCTTCACCATAATCTGATAATCTTCGGGCAAAGAATACACTGCACTGAACACCATACACTGCACTGCACTAATTGTTTCAGGGACAAAGATGATCGCACAACTAGCAGTTTTTATTCACTACTCTGCACCTTCACAATGATCTGATGATCTTCGGACAAGGCTTGTCCGCACAATTCTGCACTAAATTTTCTCGAACACAAGATGATCGCACAAATTATGTTGCTGAAGATGAGCTGTATTCAGGAGACTGTCGTTCCTTTTTGTCTGGACTGGTGTCCGTAAACTTCTTCGTGGATTCTATCTCCCTGCTTCGAAGAGCTGTAAATCACTTTTCCGAACTGATGTTCGTAACTTTTCGTGCTGCACTTCAGAACCTGACGGTCTGTAATATTTGCAAAACACTGATGATGTTCGGACAATGGTTGTCCTACAAACTTGAGATGAATTTCAGAGCCTGACGGTCTGCAATCTCTGCATGGATTTTCTTATTTCACCGCTGCCACCAATTTAATAAAGCTGGAACGTCAGAACACCCGGGTTGGGTGAAAAAAAAGACAGTAAAAACTTAATAAGAAATTCTTGAATAAATATTAAAATAATTGAATCATTACAGCCATAATTCATACAAAAGCCGCTGACGAGGCTACGACGCTGGATGCGTCTGCTTACTGCCAATGCCAATGATTTAAAAATTTCGGAGTTCCTATGGTTCAAAACCATCTACCTCCACATCAGAATTACTAAAAGCGAGCAGAAATAGGAAAAATTTTGCATAAGTGATTTACTTGATGCACACTAGAGGGAGCCACAGGCTCAAGAAAGTTTAGGGATAGAGATGAGAAAATAAAAACTTAAGTATCATAATCTTTTTATAAGTTTTTAGGTTTTTAAAATTTTTTTGTATTTTATATTTTATACTTTTTTTGGTTTTTTATAATTTTTTATACACAGTACAAACACTAAAGCAAAAAGTGGATAGGAAAGATTTTACGATTAATAGGCTCATTGGCATGTGGCTTGTGTTGGAGAGTGCAAATAATTATTGAGATCGCGATTGAAAATATTCTTAGGCAGATTTGAAAATCTGCGGGAGATGTGATTCTTAAGTAAACAGATTGATAACTTTGCTTGAAGATCTTGATAGTAGTAGCAGAGGATGAATAAGCAATTATATGGCAGCTCGCTGAAGAGACGTCCTTCCTTCATGGCGTGGGGGCTGGAACTGATGTTGAGAGGGCGTGTCTTGCCCTTTTGGATGGCGGATAGATGCCGAACTCTCGACCAATCACGGCTCTCGGTCTCTTCTGTGAGCTGCGAATAGCAGGATCGTATGCTGGAATCTGCTGAAGTGCTCGGTTATCAATCTGTTCAATTTTGAGGAATAAATTTTGACTAAGCTTTTTAATATGGTAATCTACAGGTTTAATATTTAGGTCCGAATGAATCACATCTGTACGGACG